ATCTAAAATGATTCTTATAAAAATGTCACATTTTAATGTTAGGTTATACTAAATAATATTTAAATATCTAATAATTTTATTTGTGTTTTTCGTTTCCGCTAAACAGCGCCGGATTTATAAGTGGAAACCTAGGATACCAAATTTTGGAAAATTTTTCAAAATTTGGAACTAATGCTTAATAAGTGAATTCATTTTTACTGAATACATTTATAATAAGTTATTAAATGAATAACTAAATATTTCAGATACATAGAAGTAGTTCAAGTTATAATAGTAATGTAAAGCAATATGAATGTCTTGTAAATGTTAACGTACAGTACGTGAAACCTGAAACAGAGGAGTGCCAAAGTTTACTAAGCCCATAGTGTCTAGAACTCTAAATCCGGATAGATTAATGGGATGAGATAACACAACGCACGGACGATTTGCCAAAGGGAGTGTTTCCCAGAAGAACTTTCTAAGGAAACTAGCCCCTATGTGTTAGACACGTGAAGAAACCCGGAAAACTTTCACGTGTGGCTAGCCCGTTGATCAGGCACGAACCCGCGACCAACTACCAGTTTTCAGTTGTTTTATCCACTCGACCATTGGTGGGCCCCTAAATCCGGAACTGCCACTGAAAGTACTATATAAACTAGCATTAAAACGGGAATTATTTTTTATTATTCCTTATGAATGACGTATTGAACGCATTAAATTTTCGTCAGGACAGTAACGGATGATTCTATAATCAAACTGAACAATAGTTCCAAATTCAGTTAGCAAACCAGTTAAGATTCCAGAGGAATTTCTCTCTCTACGTTGTATTTTTAGTGTAAAAAATTTATATAACAAAGACTTTCTAAATAATTTAATATTTTACGCTGAACATAAGATTTTTAAATAAAATAAAACTATAATATAAAAAATATGAACATGACATATGTGCTGATAACTTATACCTGCAAGTAAACAGCAAATGGCAAATAATATTAAAAAATAGAAAAATGGTATTTTTAACAATATAGGCTATATACGTACAAAATGGATAAAGTTTCCAAAATATAACTGTTTTTATATTCTGATTATTGATAATACATTAAATGAAATTTTCAGTATCGATAAATACAGGATGATACAAAACATTATTTTAAAAGATCTTTTATATTCAATAATTCCTTTCACATAAATCTTTTGTAAAATTTTCTGCAGCTAGCACGTTTTGTGAATAAGATTATTGACTTTTTTCGACGTTAATGCTAAAGTTATTTTTTAAATAAATCAGAATTAACGACATGTTACTAGAGAAGAGAATAATTTAGAATTAAATTTCAAAATTGAGAATATTCGGGCAAAGAAAAAAGGATTTTCTCATCTCCTCTCCGACCAAATTATATTCTTGTTTAAACAAATCAATCAATAAAAAGCTATAATTATCTATTTAAATGAACTCCGATTCTTGTTTATGATGTTAAAAAATCTTTTTTAATACGTTGATACAAAAGAATAAAGTTTTTATTAAATTATTCTATGAACACGTTTCTTTGCAGGTTCTTCAAGAGATCACGTTTCTTGCCAATTACAATAATTTCAAAACATTTTTAGAAAATTAATTGCATTCGAAAGATGAATTTTTTTCCATACTTAATGCGATAATTATCAACAATTCTCTTAGAATCTCTTCAACCTAATTAACCCTGTAATATCTAGATGTAATTTTATATATTTTAACATGAAAATATATATACTCACAAAATACAAAATTTATTAAAAACCTTAAAAAATCAAAAAATCTATATACAAATTTAGATACTATCGCTTTTAATCATGTCAAGAATAACTGAATTTGAATATAACTTACTGTACATAATCTCAAAACTCGATCAGCATAGTACAATTTTAAAATATTCTCTAATAATATAAATATAACTGGAAATTAATTTAAATATAATTTTAAATATTTTAAATAAAGTTTCACGCATGTCTATATGTTCGATTCGTCTAATTTCATACACTAAGTATAAATTAAAATTTTATAAATAAATAAATAAATAACAGTAATAATACTGATTATGAACATAATATTTCCACAAAAGTTCATAGTTTGAATGACTTTAAAATTAAATTATATATATAATGTGTGTGTATGTTATGTATACATCCACAAATTGTTTATTTTTACTGAGGACGAATTAATAACTTCAGTCATTCTTATAATACAGAGTTTCTTATAAGAAAGTTAATGAATTTGTGCTAAAACGTAAATTAACGCTGTTCTATTCTGGTTGAGATACTTTAATTAGCGTTAATTTATCTAACTTTATTGTTTGTCTTCATATTTAATTTCGGGGTTATACTCAGGTATTCTGTTTCTTAATGCCTTAGTTGTTGGCCTATATAACTTTAAAAAAAATTATTTCTCCATCAGGTCTAATTAAAGGTATGTTAAGTTATATACTTCAATTTTATGATTTTATGATAAGTGAAAAGATATTTCACTTATTCTAATAAGTGGGATATCCTTTTATTTACTTTTATCAAGGATATCCCACTTATAGCTATAAGTGAAATAAATATCCTTGAAAAATATGGAGTATATTAAATACCTTTAATTAGACCTGATAGAGAGAGTATTTTATATATGGACAACAATTAGGTATTAAGGTACAAAATTCACAAGTGTAAAATCAATATTAAATATGAGAAACAATAAAAAATTTAGCTAAATTATTGTTAAATAAAATTTTTAATTAAATACGACAGAGTTAATTTATGTATTAGCATAAAAACAGTTTAAAATTTTAAGAAAAAATAAACTAAAAATAAGAGATATATAATAGTAGTAGTAGATATATAATATAAATATTAATTATTTTTTAATTGTAAAATTATCCAAAACGTGAATTTTTGAAAATGTTATATTAATAATCAATCTTATTACTATTGTTATCATTTTAAAATTACATTCTGTTGTTCGAATTTTATTGTAAATCAAATTTTTTAGGCTATTTATATTCGAATTCTGTAGTCCCGACGGCTTTAAATCAGTGATTCGCGAACTTACCTTGCCCACTGTCCTTCCATAAACTCATTTCCAACGCTCCTTCCTCTATCCTACCAGTTTTATTATTTATTTATTTAAACATCGATTTGTATGACTCATTAAGAAAAACACTTAAATTCAAAACAATAACAAAACTTGTTTATTTAAATTTAATGAAAACTTTTAAAATGTTATTTATTCAACAAAACTAATAAATTTAATTAATTGATTTTAATTTGTGAAGTGCATCGTCATTAGGCAAGAATCTTAAAAATCAATTTTAATATCTTCAATATTAGTTAACATGAGCGATGAACCTGATATATTTCTCGATTCCTAGTCTAAAGTCACTTAGAAAGTTTTAAATCGCCACGTTCAATAATTTAGAATGGATTTCTTTGCGTGGAGAGAAGTTAGATGACTGCACCGTAAACATATTCTATCAAATATGATGTGAAAAATGCGAGAAACTTCTTAATACTTAAGTCTGCTGTTGTAATTATTCAATATTTATGCAATATAAAAGCATTATAGTCCAGTGTAGGTAACGCGCTCGAAGGGACTCATCTCCAGTGATCCCTGCTGCCCACTTTCCTCTTAGTGCTCATTTGGATAATTCCACCGGAGCAAAGAGTGTACTAACACTTTGAAAACTATTACTTTAGATAATTAAAAGAGAGATACTTGAATGTATTTGTAGTATTTAGATTTTCATGGTTTTCAATTTACTTTGTTTAGCTAAATTGTGTATATTTTCACATTAATACTGATCTGTTTAATTGGTTAAAGTAGTGCACATTTTTATGTAAATTTGTCGCCATTCTTCAGAATTTCTCTTCTCAAAATTGAAGAGATGACGTCAAATTAACTTAAAAATGTGAATTATTTCAATCAAATGAGCAGACCCTGCATTTAATTACTACAGCAGGTAAAGTAGATATTTATTTTAATAACTTTATTAAAGATTATTTGTAAAATTTGTTTATAATGCAATTAAACATCTTTTAAATCTTGAGGTTTTCTTTAAATGAGATTCCGTTTATCCAAACAAAAGCATTAATAGAATTTATAATAAATGTAATAGTTTATTGAGTTAGAGTATGATGTAGGAAAACAAAAATTTTGACGTGACAG